TTATATGCTATGTTAAATAAAATCCTACACTTAACCGATATTATTTATTTAATAGCTAGGTCTTTGTTGTGTTGAATTCCCTTTCTTCCTGGGTACAAGTAACTGTGATATTTTCCTCATCACAGGGATTTTGGTCAAAAATATTTAAAATTGTTCAGAGTGCATTTTTTTCTTCCATCGTTCTTAATTTTCTAGACTACACATGTAATTTACTCAGTATTGACTGAGCATTTATAATTCATCAGCCCTGTGAATACTGGAGGCTAGCACATAACAGTGAATAAAGTAAGTGTTCACAAGAGGCAGGGATGGAAAAGCAGGCAAGGCTGGAGGATGGGGAGCTGGAGTTAGATTTTACTGGATGAATAGGAGTTTGATAGTCCATGGAATAAAAGGACATTTGTGATCATGACAGAAAATTGAATCAAGGCCCAGAACTTGGGAGGCTGAGGCAGGAGGATTGCCATGACTTTGTAGCCATAGCCTGGGCTACACAGTTCATGTCCCGCCTGAGCTACGTAGCGAGACTCTGTCTCAAAACAAAACAGAGCTGAACCAAGGCCGAGATACTACATCTCCATGTATAAATCAGTATGAGTGGTTTTCATTTTACTTTTATTTCTCTGGAACTTACAGTTTGGATTTCCTCAAATGTTCTTTTTTTATTCATTGCTTTTTAAAATAAGGAACTGAAGTAATTCCTGATGCTGTTTGCTTTGGTCAATATAAATCATTTTGACTTTATTAAACATAACTGGCATAAGATGTTTTCACCTGGACCACCTTTAATTCTGTCTTTACTTCGTGGTTCCTTGGATTAGACCTGGGAGCTCAGCGTGCTGTGCACGCGGGTGTGCGGCTGTGGACCTTGCGTCCTTGCTCGCGTTGCGCGCCCTTACGTGCGCTCCCGAGGGCCCAGGCCCGGCTGATGGTGACTTACCTGTCTGTGTCCTCTGCCTAGATCAAGTTCGACAGCGTGGAGGTGTGCGTCTGCTGCGAACTGCAGCACCAGTCATCCGGCTGCAGCAACCTCGGGGAGACGCTGAAGCTGAACCCGCTGCAGGAGAACTGCAACGCTGTGAGGCTGACCTTGAAGGTGACCCTGGCGCCGCCGAGTGCGCATGCGCTTCCCCCGCGCGCTGTACGGACACTTTAGCGAGGTTTAGTGGCAGATAGATTCCTTCCCACGCCCCCTTCGTCCCGGTGGGCTCGACTCCAGGGAGCTGGCAGTTCCAGAGAGCAGGGAAACAACCGTAGATCTTCTTTAGGAGGATGCTGCTGCCTGGATCTCGTTTCCTGTGTCACCATTTCATCCTCCTTCCTCTGACATACGCGGGGCAGGAGGCGGGAGCTGGCAGACTTCTTCACAAATGATGCTGTGATGCATCCTATTGCGTTTCTGACATTTTTGCTGTAACATCATCAGTGAACAGATGGGTATTTACTTTGCTTTTTTAAAAGATATTTGAAAAAAATCTTATGATCCATGACAGTCTATTCTCCTGGAAAGGCATCTGATCTTTTCAAAAAAGGACACAGAAATGGTGTTTATGTTATTGCCCTTTCTTGCCTTCATCCAATGTGAGCATTTTTTTTTTTAATTCCTGGAAAAAAAAAATTGGCTGCTTTGAAATACATGTGACTGCTGAGCCCAGTTCTTTTCCCTGAACATAGCAGCACTGTATATGTTTGAAAAGATGTACCATGGTTGGGGCTGGGGAGATAGCTCGGTGGCCTAAGTGCCTGTCTGGCAAGCGCAAGGACCCAGGTTCAACCCCCAGTACCGCATGCTATGCTGGTCCCCCCATGCCATGCTGGCCATTGAGGCTGGACATGGTGGTGCATGCCTGTAATCTCAGGGAGGCTGAGACAGGAGGCTCACTCGGAGTCTGAGCTGTGTAGCGAGACCCTGTACCAAATAAATAAGTGGGGTGGAAGTCAGGCTGTGTTTTGAGCTGTAGTGTGTGTTCAGGAAACAACAGTGTGTTAGGAGTCTTGGCTCCTAAGAGAGCCACCTGGAGGAAAAGCATTGCTGCTGTCTGGAGCGGAGTACTCAGGGTTAGACCTCACCATCAGAGACAGGAGCAGGCTGGAGCCCCGGCACCCGCCTTGCTTCGCATGGGAGGATAGTCAGAGTCCAGGGTATCAGCGACCCCCACCAAAGTGAAAATCAGCCGGCTTCAAAGAAGCCAGAAGTGCAGCGCTGCAGGACCCCGTCCTGGCCTGGCGCCCCATGTCCATCTCCCCCACATTTCACGTAGGCCCAGCTGTCCCACACCCCACCCTCAGACTACCCAGGGTCAGTGCCTAGCCCTCCTGGGAAGGTTGTGCGCACCATTCCTCCCTCTGAGATCTCACACTGACAACTCCTGTTACCTCTTTCCAGCGTGGGTGTTTCCTTTTCATATTTGCAAAACAAAGCAAGATCATACATAACTGTAATCACAGTGTACTCTCCCATGCGCAGGAACCTCCTCAGGGCAATTGTCTGGCTCTGAAACCCGTGTGTGTGTGTGTGTGTGTGTGTGTGTGTGTGTGTGTGTGTGTGAATCTGTCATTATTTTTAAAAGCCCCCAGACAGAGACCTAATCAACTTACATGAGAAAAAGGTAGTATTGTTTGCAGGATCGGTTTTATTTATTTATACTTTGCTCGCAGTTTGGGAGGTTCTGAACCATGACCGAGTGGCCCTGTTGGACTGTGTACCTCGGGGAAGACAGGACATCACAGCGAGTTACAAGGTGGAGTAAAATCACTCCCAACATCACAAAGCAGGGACTGAAAGAGAGAGACGAGACAGGACCACCAGCCCCTCGGGAGAGACAGCTCCACCGACACAAGGACCTCCCACGAGGCTCCAGCTCCCTCCAAGTAGCATTCCTTGGGGACTGAGGCTTCGACACATGGGTCTTAGGGACACAGGGCCAAATGGTAACAGTGTGAACTGTAGTCTAGACTATAAGTTACCTCCTGCTCTGCAGCTAATAGACTGGACGTGTTTGGTCTGTTCCCCAAAGGCGTAGGGTTCTCTTGGACACTATTACTCATGGAATCCAAGATTCATTGCCATGAATCTCCAGTCCCCGAGGATGGGGCAGTGGCTTGAAGGTGTTGGGAAAATAATACTCTCTCTACAAGTGCAGACTCGGGCCTACCGTAAGCTGGTGACCTTATGGTCTTACTCTCAGTCAGTATCCTAGTCCCCTGATGAGGAAAGCTTTTGGGAAGATGTACCCAAATTGGAATGAAGTGAGAAATACTGAAATCAGGAAGTTCATGTCAAGGTAGATAAATCAAGCCTATTCAGTGGCTTTTCTCAGTGGATGTTGAAATTTCCCAGGACAAGAATTGAAGGCAAAATAAAGACTATTCCACTGTATTTACTAAATTTGTGGGAAACATTAACTAGGGACAGTGACTGTCAAATCTCAAAGAAAGTGGAAATTATTATTGAAGTCAGGAGGCCAGTGATCTAGAGGTAGAATCTTAGAACTTAGGAAAAGGGACAGCCTGCCCCTGTGCCCTTCTGTCCCCAACTGAGGGCTTATACATAGAGCCATGGGTGGTGGCCTTGGGGGTCAGCTCTGAGATCAAGAGGACAAAAGACTATGGGACATGAGCATCTGTATATTGTTTGTTGCTATCCTCCAGTTTGTTACATTCCAAGAATCCTTGGGCTACCCTAGGTCCTTTGAATTTCTATATGCATTTCTATATGCATTTCTATATGCATTTGAGATTGAACATGTCAGTTTCTACAGAAATCCTGATGGAATTTTAATTAAGATGCCATGGAATGCATACATCACTCTAAAGAAAATTGACGTGTTAATGATACAGCTGATCATTTCTTTAAGTATTCTATTTCATCAGTGTTTCTCTCATTGGTGGTGTGTAGTTTTCAGTATATAGATCTTAACATACTTTGCAATATTCAGGCTTAAATCATTTCACATTCATTTGTGCTGTTTATGGAATTTGAAAATCATTTCTTATTCATTGCCTGTATTTTGAAGAGTTTTTTTTTAACTGATCTTATATCATGTGATCTTGCTGAACTCACTTATTAGCTCTTACAGTTCTTTTATTAGGTTCTCTTGGATTTCCTATGTAGACAGTCATGTGATATGCAAAGAAAGACAATTTTACATCATCTATTCTATGTTAGGGTTCTCCAGAGAGACAGAACCTGTAGGTTAAGTGTAGACATGGATATAGGGGAGGGGATTTATCAGAGAAATTGACTCACATGGGCTGAGAAAACTGACAGTAGTTTGTCTTCAGACTCTTGGGTGCTGTAGCCTGAGTCAGTCCAAGTCTGTAAGGCTTAGAACCAAGGACACCTTGGTCCATCCAAGCCCAGAGGCCTATGAAACCACGGGCTACTGGTAAAAGTCCTGGAGCCCAAAGACTAAGAGTGCATGGAGTTCCAGTGTCCCAGG